CTTTTTAAATTTCAAAAGAAAGAGAAAATGTAATCAGAAAATTTTATAATTTATTAGATGATACCTATATGGAAAGTAATTATCAATTATTGCCTTTCTTTTCTGTTTTATAAAAAATTTAAACATTTTAGTTTCACGTACATAACCAAACTTCTAGTGTACTGTAATGGTTCATCTTTATGTAAGGACCCAAACCAAGTTAATTCATCAACTCGAGTTGATTTTAATGAAGACTTTTCGTTTGATTACAAAGACTGATTTATTGAACATATTAACTTTGTAGAAAACGTGATCTTCATGTTAAGAATAGTTGAGATATTGACATTGGTATAATCATCAAAATCTGCTATAAGATAAAATTAAATTTTCTTGGTCATATATATCAATTATGAGTAAACAATAAATGTAATAAAGGAGTAACTATCATTCACTTATTATTAAGGATAACTGTATAAAATAAATCTTTTCGATAAGCACGTTCTGTAAATATCACAACAAACTATCAATGATCTGTACTATTGATTTTTATATATGTATTCAATTGCATTCACAAATTCAGAGAAATAGTGATGAATATAAAACTCTCAAAATTATTTTCAATATTAGATTTAATCATTTCGTGATTGTGGATATATTAAAAACAAAACGAATGTTGAGGCACATGCACCAGTAGTCATGAATTCCTCTCAAAATATACAGCTGATTACACAGTATATATTATTGTTGTTTTTTTTGTTTTCCACGTCTATCTATAGAAAAACATTATCCATTTTACAGATTATGAATAGAAAACAGTGACACAAAAACGATACTATTTCTAGCTTTTGGGAATAGTTTTTTATATTAAACTACATACGATAAAATGTTAGTAGAAAGAATTAATTGAGTTTAGATTTTATAAGCACAATCATTTTTACACATTTCACTTTCTTTTGGACGTAATCTAATGTAATGGTAAAGACAAGAGGAATGCCGCGCTCTTACTTCATTTGTGACAATTTTTTCTTTCCATTTGAACAATGTATCGCTTGTCACAAGGCGCAAGTGAAATCGATTAATTGATCATATCAGCTGAATCCTGAAAATTGAGAAAATATAAGAAAGAACAGAGTTGTTTTGTTTATTGAAAATGCCAAAAACTAAATGCTTTTATTGATCAAATCTATTCAACTTGTTTAAATATTCATGAGTTTTGATCAATGAAATAGATAATTGTTTCTAGTTACTGAAAAAAATCACTGTCTATGAAATTACATCATATACTTAGAATTAAATGAAGTATATTCTGTGTTTTTATAGATTGCAACTTCATAGACGATAAAAATAAATCTAAGTAAAAAATAAACTTGTCAATCTAATGATTTCATGATAGTAATAGACCAATGTAGGTGTATTCGTGTATTCATATTATTTTTTTCTCTCTTACTGAAATTGTTCAACAGATAAAAGAACTTCCTTTTGTTTTCATAGTATTTAGTTTATTCAAATCTTTCGTCCGACTATTGTCCGTGTATTCTTTGTTTCAATTGGATGGGGATGTTATGAAGTTTCACAAAAAAAGAAAATATACTCAACAACTTGTTTGTGTATTTTCCTCGTTAAGTTTTGATGTTTTTGAAAATAATACAGACTTATTCGGACATATATCCATTTTCCATAATTTTATAAAGACAATTAGAAAAAGTATTAATTAAATAGGTATATACATAGCTAGACTAGAATATTTTTTATTAGATTTGTCTTGTTTTCCGTAATTGATATGACAAAGAACAAATTGAAGGGTCTTCATTGCTTAATATAGTCATAAAAAAACTATTCAATTCTCTTATCAATATAGACATCAGGTGTTTTGCCAACAAAATAAATTGATTTATTTTTATGTTTTTTTTGCCTAGTTCATTTGCAATGAACCGATATATTTATTGAGACTTTGTCAGATATAGACTTTTATTGTGACATTTGTTTTGTTTTTCTTTTCAAAAATAAAATCAATAAACGTAATTAAATAAAAAGTGAGAAAGTATAAAAGTAAAACATTTCATTTGAAGAGAGCTTGTTACAATGTATAATTGAACGAAAAAAATAATAAAATAGTATTTGTAATAGTGAATATATAGAAGAAAATTATTAATAATATTAGTTAATAAGATTGATCTGAACATGAGAAATCTTTTGTTTATGCTTCATATTTATTTATTTAAATTTTATAATTTCAATTAGTTTTTATCTGTTGACAATAATAAAAAAAAATTTTCTTATACTCGAAATACGTTAATTTCGTTGACTGAAAAATGTCTCTGCATTTTTAGAAATTAAATTATGTATAGATTAAATATTTGATTTTGTAAAAGAAATCTCAATAATAATTAATTAATTAATTAATTAATGAACCATATATTTATTTTCTCATTAGACATATATGTTAAAATGAAAATTTTTATTGTGAAAAAAATTTGCTTTTTGGATAATTAAATTAATATACATTACAAAATCTACCAAATGAAACTCTTCCTATAATATTATTTTACATAAGATGATTTGAAATGATTCAATCATTGTAGTTGTTAAATAAACGATTTAATTCTATGATATATTTGAAATTTTCAATGAAAAAATGTTGATGAAGCTGCTTTAACATTCTATGTGTGTGAAAGAATTTTCGTAGGAACCATATGTGAGAAAGAGTAAGTAAATCTTTGAAAAGTAGAAGAAGATTTTGATCTAAATAATTTAAAGAAAATTGCAAACGTCTCCCTATGAAATGATATCCTCCTCGTCACTTGTATGAGAAGTTTCTCTCAATAAAAAGGCTTATAATAAAAGACTTATTGACATACTTATATTCAATATATAAGATAGAATTCAAATTGACATTGATGCTTAAAGAATATTTGTGTCAAGTTTTTTGTTTAAAATATTAATTAACTTTTCTCGATCGTAACGTATTAAACAACGAGTCTTTTGATAAGATTCATAAATAATTCTAAGATTTATTCAAATTTAATTTATGTTTCTTTTTTCGAAATTCTCTCGGTTCAATTCAAATAGTCATTGGCCGAGAAATCTTACTCATATGAACTGTTGATCGCAAGATTTCCATCAAGCAATATTCAATGAGTATGATTAGAACTCTTTGTCAGTATTTCAATATGAAGAAATCTAATATGGTTTTTTTTTATATTAACCTCTTTGTATATCGGTTGACTCTGACACTTCACTATGTGTCTTCGATGTCGATATAGACAGTTTATTAGTAACAAAAATAAAAGAAGATTACGACAGATATTTTAATCATTTGATCAAATTAGTAAATTGAATGAAGGCATTCGTATCGTGTAATCATAATGCTTGTTACCATAAATCATTGAATGCTAAGTCAGTTAGAAGAAAGAATCGTTTTCTTATTCAAACAATTAATATGGAAAATCAGCTATTGTAATCAATTTAAATTATAGTCTGATTGCTTTGCCTTTTATTTTGAAATAGAAACAATGCTTGACCTTTTCACGATCATGTAAAACAATCCAGAAAGTTCGTTTGCAGCAAAAAATGCACTTCGAACAGAGATATCTCTTGAGATTCTCTACTAGTGTAGAGCTAAGTTCAAATTTTGAGTTTCTGAAAGGATCCTTCTAATAAATCTGTGTAAATTCGAAATTTTCTATAATTGTGACTTGATAAATACTATTGAAAGGTATGTATATGGATGTTAGTTAAGTGTGAATCGAATGATTCGTTGATTACTTTTGGGAAAAAGCAATCTTTTTACTTTTCTCATCTATCTTCTTTTTTTCTGTCGTTTGTTTATTTTAATATCTTTCAACTTTGGGCTTTGTGAAGAGAAATTGCACTTATTAAAATTGAAAAATTGAAGATAACAGAAAAATGAAAAACACATTCTCATACAACGAAGTTCATTTCGAATAGAGTATGCACAAGAATATGAACCTTGCTTGTGACTATAGAAAATATCCCCATCCATACCAACACTTCATGGTCAACATGTATTATGCTTATAGTTATGAGTGTAAACTGGTCGACTGAACAGTCACCGTCGATAGAATGTGGGTGATTAAAGGAGAATAACCCACATTCACACTCACACTTACATCCAAACCCTTACTCTTTAGCTGTATTTTTGACATTGTTTGTACAGAATACAAGGGAGAAAATGCTGGTTATCTGATTGTTCATGATTGTTCTTTGTGCTTTCATCATCAGATAAAGAATTCAGGTTGTTTATGAATACATTTTTCATTGTCTTGAGTAAACAGGATGACAATCATGTTTTCGATATCCTATCATGTTCAGGAGGAAAGAGTATGGGTGTGGTTGTAGGTATGGGATGGGAGTGTGGTTGAAGAGAAAACAGAGAGCCACACCCACACCCACACCCAACTCCTACCTATCGAAGCATGTCTTGATGTACCAAATAATGCATAAATTAAAGGTGAAAAAAATGACATGTATAAACCTTTAAAAGCATTCAAATTATATTTATTAACCCAATAAATTAACTCAATAATTTACCAATAATCGCTAGAACATTGGCTAATAAAGCATAGATCATTCCTTGTGATATATATATATATATTATAGATACCTACACAAAATAAACATCTTTATTCACTAGAAACACATGTCGATTTTCACCAAAAACAAAGAAAACATTGGATATATCGGTAACTTTTTTTTATAAGAAAGGAATCAAAAAAAAAAGATATTTAACTTTTGTAGGCATGATATTCATCATTGATTAATAAAAGTATCTTAATTATATTGTGAAAATATTTTCTAATGATCGAATATGATGTCGAATATATTCTAAAAACTTTAATCGTTGTTTAGAAGAAGATAATTCTACAATCACTATTCAAATTTAATTTTTATATAAAATATTACTTTTATGAAAATTGGAAACTATTTGATTATATTTCGTAATGCTTTCTCTCATTATTGTTCTTCAATAGTTCGACATAAACTAAATGAAAATAAAAGTTTTAACTTACAGTAACACCACACAATATATCACTTGGTAGCCATCCAACATCATAAAATTGAAGCCAAGTTAAAAATGGAAAAAATCTATTTATATATGTTCGAGCACATTTGTTTGATGGTATACAATTATCTTTAATAGAATTAATTCGATTTTGCAAAACGTTTGAACGTTTATATTCTTTATTTGTCACCGGTACAAATAATTGTTTTAATGATTGACATTTCATTTTTGAATTATTCGAAAAAATATTGTTATCTTCCAATGAATCATTCATCAGTAGAGTTTAATAAAAGATTAATCAACTGAAGTTTTTATATGACGTTTTCAAGAAGTTTCTTTTTATTTTTCTCTTTCAAATAAATTATATTCTATTTTATTTATATCCATTAAATTAAAAATAACCACCATATACTTAGCAAATATTTATCAAGATAAATCACTTTATTCAAATCTTTATTAGAAAAGTCGAATAGAAATAAAACAATGTACCTCAATATTACCTAGATCAATAGGAATAAATTTTTTTCAAGTACATTTAAGTATTTTAACTAATAGAGTATATTATTTATATCATTTCAATCGATCTTTTAAATAATAAAATACAGAACAATAGACTTTATGTAAATAGTATGTAATGATTATTAATTAAATAAACATAACTTCACTAAAACCAAATAATTATTCACCGATCCATGTAATAAATAATGATTAGAGAGAAGATTTTATTTATTGAGAGATAACAGAGAGAGAGAAAGAAAGAAAGAAAGAAATTTTCATAGAAGCAGCAAAAAAAAAAGAAAAGAGCTAAGATGAGTGTAACTTCTTATTCTTAAAATAAAAATTCAGTCGAAATGTAGACAAAAAAAATATTCGAATAGTTAAATATTAATTATTTCTACCAAAATTTTTGCTATTTGTCGACTTCAATGAATTTACATGCAAAAATTCATTTTGAAAACTTCTGATATATTATTCAACAATCAATTAATTAAACATTTTACTATGACTATATCAGCAATAAGAAAATAAAATAAATTCTTTCGATATAATAGATATTTCATAAACTGATGATCTTCTATTAGTTGAACATTTACTCATATTAACATAAGTTATATTGATACTATTTTATTTGCTCATTAAGATAAAAATACATCCATTTATTAACAATTGACCTTTTTTATTATATATATAATCATTGACATCTGTATAAAAACGATAGACAAATATCATCGATTTGTCTATGTTTAGAAAAAATAAAGGTTTATCAAACAAAGAATAATGAAACACAAAAAAATCTTATCTATTTTTTTTTTATATATTTAATATTGTTATTGAACAGTAGAAATAATAAAAAATATTCAATATAAATATCAATAATAAAAAGATGCCAATCAAATGTGCAATTCGAATCAACAAAAAAGATCATTATATATCTAATATGTTTACATGTTTCAAATAATCCTTAATATATTTCATATTCTTCGGCATTATCTCAGCAATTAATTCAAATAGTTTTTAGATTTTTTTCATAAAACCAATTTTCTCATGTGTGAGAATATATTATTCAATCGGATATAAAATAAATAAATTTTTTTGTGAAAAAATACTTATGAAGATAATAAAAATGAACTCAGCTATAAGGAGATCTTTGATCGAATAATTCATTATACTTAGATTAAGAATTATTCTTTAGGGAGCGCTTCAAAATATATTCCGGTCGGTCGGTCGTTATTCCTTCATTCCACTATTCCTCTATTCCGTTATTTCATATTCTTCGATTCCTTCAGTTATTTATTCTTTTCTCTATATCTTTATTGCAGAACATTTGATTATGTACCACCTTCTCGTTCAAAAGTGAATTTTTTCTGTTATTTTATATCTTCAAAGATTATTAATCACTCTTTGAAAGTATTATTCATTCATCAAGCTATCGATTGCATATCGAAATCAGAAATGTTCATTATGCATAGATAAATTCCAGTATGAAGCTATTTGGATGTTCATAAGAAAAATTTTCTCGTTAAAAATGCAATTGTATCATTTTTTTCAGAGCAGTCTTGAAGAGAGCGCAAAACTGAATCTAATTAAAAGTTTCTCAAGTTAAGCCGAATAGAATCGAATGAAACTTTCGAAAAAGTGGGTTCAACCGAATCGAACTGATTGAAGGTTTGTAGAAGATAGTCCGGAGCGAATCGAATGAAAATTTTCTTCAGTCGAGTCGAATTGAATATGGTTGATACGACTCATTCAGCTTTTTTTTTGCGTTCGATCATGTGATAATCTTACACGTTAGTGATGATTGGTTTACATAAACAACACATACAAGAGAACATAACAGCAATTTAGAAATTGTAATTAACTTTCTCTAATTTTTGTAAACGCATTTGTTAACTATGAACGTGTAGATAATCAAACAACGAATATGTACGATACAATCTAATGGTTCGTCGATAACTGAAACACTTTCTTGATCCATATTTATTGACAACTATACAAAGGGTGTGGGTGTGGGTGTGGGTGTGGATGGGTGTGGATGTGGGTGGGTGTGAGAGTGGGTGGGTGTGGGTGGTGTGGGTGTGGGTGTGGGTGTGGGTGGGGTGGGGGGTGTGGGCGTGGGATGGGTGTGGGTGTGGGTGTGGGTGTGAGGGTGGGTGTGGGTGTGGGTGGGGCTGGGTGTGGGTGTGGGTGTTCTGTTACATTACGTCACTCGCACCCACACCTACACCCACACCCACAACCACATCCACCCACCCATACCCACACCCATCACCCGCACACCCACACCGCTCCCACCCCCACCCCCACACCCCACCCACTCACACCCATACCCACACCCTTCTACTCTTCAAACAAAGTCTAAATGAATGGGTGAGTAGATTATAGAATCAGTAACATTCACACTTACACCATGAAGTTCTTTGTGTGATCAGCAAGCCTACTTCAACACTTACTGACAATCATATTTCACAACACGCGTACTAAATTCAGAAAACGAGGCTCAGTTCTATTTGAAAAACAGTCAAAGTAAATTAATGTCATAAAAGAAATGAGCCTCAAAATTATAACCGATTAAATATTAATAAATTTCGAGGTATTGTTTCTAATGTCAAGACCAGGTCGTCACACCATCCATAACTGGAGAATTCAACTATTAATTCAATTTGAAATGAGTCTGTTCGTGTTCGCATTGTAACAAAATCAGATTCTAGAATTGAAATAATTCAAAGTATTTACTGATCAGTCAATTATTTCTTTTTATACTACCTCGTTTGAAATTCACCGCACCAATTTGACGACCATTATGATCATTGATCCTAATCGATGTAACATTACCACCACCACGAGCTGATACAAAAACAACAGCACGATAGCGACTTGTTAATGCAATGTATCTCTTCATATCAACGTGCTGAGTCATAGTGGACATGTTAGCTGTTAAACTAGTGAATACGCAGTTAAACGAATAGTTATTCGTAGTCGAAATGACGATAGCATTCAACGGCTTTACTTCCCAGTCAGTCATAGATAAGTGACTATTGCAGTTGGCATTTTCGTTGCGTAACAAATTAGGATCTTGGCTAATGATAGAGCTGTTAGGTAGTAGAGCGCCTCGTATAGAAGCACTACTCAATAATTGTTCATCCGAAATACGTGTCGTCTTAGACATAATAGCGAATGAAAAATTGGCCATACTAACATTAACTTTGTCAAAATTTGCATCAATCAATATTGCACGAGATAATGTAGCTAATGTTAAATCAGCCTTAACGAAATTAATTTGTTTCATATCGGCAAAACTAAAGTCAACATCATGTACACTGGCTTGACTAAAATGGGCTCCTGTCATTGTCGCTCGAGTGAATACAGCCCCTGCACATGCACTATTCGTAAAATTGGCTGAGACCAGATAAATGCTATAGAAAATCATCCCAGAAAGATTCACACCAGAAAAATTGGTTCGCTCTAGATGTGTTTGTATGAAAATCGCACCTTTTAACTTGGCTCCAGTAAAATCGGTATGTTTAAGATTGGTAGAACGAAAATCGACTTTTTGACAATCGCAATTGGTAAAAATAGATTGTTGTAAACTGCTTGAAAAGAATGTAGCATTTATTGCTTTTGCAGATCGAAATCCAGTACGGCGCGCATGTGAGTGATCGAATCTAGTGTACTGCAAATTGGCCTGCGTAAAGTCAGCTCGTACAATAGTAGATTTCGAAAAATCGGCATTACCCATTTTGGACTCAACGAATCGCGCATTAGTAAGATCTGAACCACTAAAATTAGCATAAGATAAATCAAGTTTGGAAAATGAGGCATTGTGCAAAACGGCACCAGCCAGTGATAAATTGTGTAGTTTTCTATGAAATATATTTTCGCTACTTAGATCGATACCGCTAAGTTCGGCATCTGAAAGATCAAGAGGATTTGCACCACTGGTCAATTGTTTGGCTTCGTAAAGAAATCGAATTAAAAAAGCATTGCGAGTGGCATCAAGTTGGTGAATAGAATTGAGTGTTTTTGCTCGAGCAATAATTGCTGTCACTGGATCGGATGTCAATGATCCATTGTTCTCTTTAAGTAGTAATCCAATATCGTTCATATAAGTGACAAGTAAAGAATCACGCAACTGTTCTTGAGCAATGCTCAGTTCATGAGCTCGTTGTTGTTCTGACATATTTCGTTGCTTTTCAGCTATTAAATCATCTTGAACGCGCCTTGCTTCGGCAATATCTTTGTCTAATTGACGTTGTTCACGTGAAATATTCAAATCTTGTTCTCGTTGCATGGCAAACATGTTTAGATCTTGCAAACGTTGTTCACGCGATATGTTTAAGTCTTGTTCGCGCTGTTCTTAGCCAATTTTCCATCTTCAAGACGTTGTTGAGTGGTAACCTTTTCCTGATGAAAAGTGATTATCACCGTAAAGATTCCTAACATGAGTGGAACTAGTAATGAACCAAAAACTTGCAAGATATCCTTCATGGTGAATCCACAATAGTCTTTTAATGAACGATATGAAAATTCTGTGTTTGTACATTGATCACGCGACGGCATTCTTATTAATGAATACGTATGTTATGTTGAATTTGAATGTCAGTTCTGCAGCAGAAATTAATATTATTCCCAATTCTCAAATCACTAAGAATTGTATGCGTGTCAAAATGACAGTATCAGTTGACACTAGAATCAATATTGAACATAGAATAGCAAGTTCTAGATTTATATTTAACTAGAGATAGTGACAAATCGAAGGAGAGAAAGTCTATGTAGGCGCAATGCTCATGCTCATACTGACTACCGTTTTTGTGTTAGAAACTGATTTGTTTGGCAACACGAACAATTGTTCACGAAAGGTAAGATTGTGCTGAGTTATTTGACAACATCTACTTTGTAGAGTCTTTAGAGAATGACGAAGTCAACTAAAGGAACACTAGCATGCTAACAAAAGAAGCTAACTACAATTTGCCTCAATTTCCCTCGTAATTTCAACCTGAGAAGTGTTGTACACATTAAAATGTATCAATTAGTCTATTAAGAGATGCAGAATGCTTGATTACCTTTCAGGAATATGTTTGCAAGAATTTGGTCTGAGATAAGAGGTCAGAGCCAAGCCAAAAACCGTTATCGTCTCTAGAAATTAAAAATCTTGAAAATGTCGTTTTCTCACTCATGAAAAAGAAGTATGTAAAAGGTAAGTTTATATTCGTGATCAGTACTATGGATTCTATATTATTATATATGCTAGCTGAAAATCATAAACAAAATGTTTTCCGTGAAGGTCGCAAGAGAAGAAGATATGAGCTTCAAGAACCTCGCTTTCAAACCAAGATAAATAAGTATGCCGTTTGATAGCCCATATGTAGTTTGTTATTTTCATATAATTCGTTGTCAAAGATTTTTCAATAGTATAGTATGACTGAATGAAAATGATAGCAAATGTGACAAGTAATTGATTTCCTAAATTATTTTCATTGCCAAGCTTATTATACTCAGATTTCAATTTTATCTGAATCACTTTAATAATTTACATTGGTTTGAATCATTTAAGAGTTCTTAGTGATGAATTGAAGAACAATTGATAGTAGGATAATGTGATTATACATCTCTATTTAATGCAGACATATCCACGTTTTAACATTTTCGGCTATATGACTGCTAAGAAATATCAAGAAACCTTATGATTACTTTCTTTAATTTGGTATCAAATTGTATGAAGTAAGGTATGCACCTTACTCAAGTAGAAATGGGAAAAGATTGTATTAGCCGTATGTTCTTCTTTTATTTTTGAATGTAGCAATAGACATTACAGTATTTTTTTGTCATTGCATGAAATTTGTTTCAAATATGGTCAATATACATCGATGAATTGACCGGAATAATTGATTTTGAAATTAAACCACAGAAGAAGAATCAATGACGATCTAAAAATAACTTCACAGTGGATGTTTTCAAACACTCAGCATAGCATAATCTTTCTTGAATAATCATTCATGTTGCAAAACAAATAAATGTCTAGCTCGAAAAAAAAAATAATAAGTAGAAGTATGTGCACTGCTTGCACATAGATTTTTCTCTTGTTCAACCGATCCCTATTTCTACTCAAATACGAGTCTAGAATTTACTATCATATGTTCAATATTCACTGTAGTGTCAACTGAGAGTGTCATTATAATGCACATAAGACTCCTAGCGGTTTGAATATTTAGAATAATAGGATGTGGATGTGGGTGCCGCGGCAGATATAGAGCGAATGAAGACCAATACCCACGTCCAACCTACACTTACACCTACACCCACACCCAACACCCCACACCCACACCCACCCACACCCACCCACACCCACCCACACCCACACCCACACCCTTGATAAGAGACACTCTAGAGATTGAAGCATCAACGAAAAGATTACGTTTAAGATAAAATAACTCGTTTATTGACAGAAATTTCTTTTTTTTTTATCTTTTTCTAATCTTTCTTTTCTTTTCTCTTCTATACACTATTCAGGAGCTTTGTCAGAGTCACTTATTTAACTTCAAAAATTAATGGATTCAAACTTGCAAGAATTAGATATGGATCTATTTGTGTCGTATTATCAAAACTCGCTTTACAATTTTCAAACTACTAACAATGAACTATTGGAAGAAATTCTTCAGAAGAATCATTCATGTGCATTCTTTATGGATCGATCAATTTCATGCTTATCGACGCACAGTACTGCTTCGAGAGAAGATGGCTACGCATGGATAGATGAGTTTCGAGAAAAAGTTTCATTAACAACTTATGAAGACTATCGTGATTATGTTGATCGAATGATTCTCGACGGAGAGAAGAACGTGCTGTCGTCTGAAAACATAGTTTATTTTTCTAGAAGTTCTGGAACAACGGGGAAAGCCAAATTCCTTCCTATGACCTCAACGACAATGAGAAAAATTAGAGAATCAGGGCGATTGGGAACTCATATTATACGGAGATCATTGCCTTCTTCATCATTTTGTTCTTCTAAACAACGATCGTTCCGCTTGCAAAATGGGAGAAAGCCTGAGATGTTTCAAAGATCAAAAGACGGCATACCGATCGGCCCCCTTAGTCAATATATGTCAGCTGTTCCATCTTTTCCTCGAACTCACACATTGATATCCACTGATAATATCATAGCACTGGATATTATCGAAGGAATTACTGATCCTGAGACAAGTGTATTTGTTCAACTTGTTTTTGCACTTGCGAATGTGAATATTTACTTATATTCTGTCAGTTTTGCTCCAGGACTTATCCATAGCGTCAAGCTCATTGAAAATTATTTTGAAGAAATTAGTCTTTGTATTTCGACTGCCAATTTTGATCATAGTTCACTCGTTCGAAAGAATATTTCTGATTCGGACTTCATATCGATCTTGAATCAAAGATTGAACGAAGTAATTGTCGAACATGGAGGAGAGATGTATCAATTGGAACGAGCTCAACATATTCGAAATGAATGTTTGAAAAAGAATGTTCCCGGTATTTTCCATCGTCTTTGGCCAACTCTGCTTTATGTTTCGACGGCGATAGGAAGCATTTTTAATATGTACAAATCCGATATACAATTCTATTGTGGAGAACGGCTACCTTTAATTAATCTACTTGTCTATGCTGCGAGTGAAGGATTTTTTGGTGTCATCGCAAGTATTCACACTGACGAGTACTTTCTATTACCAACACATGCATTCTTCGAATTCATCAAAGAAGAAGATATTCAGCAAGTAAGACGGTGGAAATTCGAATTTTAAATAAAGCTTTCACTTTTCGTTTTTTTTTTCAGAATAGATCACATTTAGTTGAGCAAGAACATTCATTGTTTTTAAATTAAATGGAAACTTTTCATAAATAGTAGTCAAAGAAAACTCGAGGAGCTGATTTTGTTTTCCAAATTACTACTTTTTGAAAAAAAAGTCCTCATGTTCTTTATCTCATTGATTCGCGTATCAGTTGGAAGAGACGTGACCGGATTCCGTGAATTCTGAACTTCTGGTACTCTTGAAGTTTATACTTCGCATGTAATTCACTAGAACTCAACAACTAACGGAACCCTAGAAACTCATGGAACCCTAAGAATTCACCGGATCCACTGAACCCTAGGACTCTCAAAACCCTCGGAAATTGCGGAACTCACGTAATGTACAAAACTTCCATAATCCATGGAACTCATAGAACAGACGAAATGCATGGAATCCTTGGAATTTACCGGAGGAGGTTAGCTTAACAACATTTTGAACGATCTCGGTGTTAGTGTGAGTGAATCTGTTCTCATTTAAACTCATAACAACATATAATGCAAAATACCGACACCAGCGCAAACTCAGACCATACCCGCCTACACCCACACCCACACCCTCAATTGGAATTACGTAAGAACAAAGGCAACATTGATAGACGAAATAAAACGTTTTGTCAAAATAATTGAAAAAGAAAAAAAATTACACTTTGTCCTTGATCTTACTGTACATTTATGTTTCATCCAAAAACATGGAAAATGCTATATTCATGAAATGGAATATATCAAATCGGGGTAGAATTATAAGTGCAAGAAAAGTATTTCAATCAAGAAAATCATTGAGAAGAAATTTCAGAAATACTAAGAGAGCACTTCTCTATTGCACTATCCGTTATATCTAATTATTCTTTTCAACTATAGTTATGTAAAATCATCGAAAATTAAAAACTTTGTTTCAGTTCGAATTGCAGGGATCTTATGGTATCTTCTAAATCTAAGCTATGTTGCCATCTTTATCTATACCTTTTTATTCTGTTTTTACTATGCTAATTCTTGTTTAGACTCAACCAAAAACTCTTCTCATCTCAGAGATCGAACCTGGACATCGATATGAATTGGTTTGTACAACCGACGCTGGATTGGTTCGATACAGAATGGGAGATGTCATTAATTGCACGAGATTCCTTTGTCGAGCCGATGACTTGGTTGCATTACCAGAAGAACCAGTCGAAATCCCAAGAATTCCTCTCATTTCACTCGCATATCGTGTTGGAACTCTTTTGGATATATTTGGTGAGAAAACAAGTGAACAACATGTGATGCATGCTCTTCAACAAACTGTTCATCAATGGAGAGAACAAGGAATACCTGTTGACTTTTGTGAATTTGCGTCGTATCCAAGATTAGATGTATTTCCAGCTAGATATGTTATCTTTCTGGAATTGATTGAGGATGAAGGACATAAGATTGATGCACAACAATTTCAAATTCTCAAGAATACCGTCAATGCAGAAGTCGACCAACAACTTCGCCAAGCCAACCAAATTTATAACTTTATGCGGATTGCAAAAAAAGCTGATCCACTTGATTCTATTCTTGTACGAAGTGGAACATTCTCGACTTTTTTGCGCAAATTCTTGTGGACTGAACGCACGAGTCCAGTGCAAATCAAGCCTCATCGAATGTTGAAGAATGAAGAACACATTAGATTCTTTTATGACAACCAAATTGATACATCATCTTCCTAATCATGACTCTTCTTGCAACAATAAAAACAATCGAATTGATTCTTATTTGATATGTCGGTGATTTATTTTAGATTTTACTAGTGATTTGTTTCAATTAATTAACGTTTAATTTTGTTTTTCATTTTACTAAATATCATTCAAATAATTGATGATCTAAGACTAGAGAAGTTGCAACACCCAGAACATCACTAAAATTTGCTTGAGTGCAAAGCTACTTTCTAACTATCAGTCGATTGATGAAATTCATAAGGATCTAGATAATGTGAACTATTATAAATTTTGTCTTCAACTTAGTTTAAGTAGAAAAACAATATTATAGTACTCGATACAAAGATTTCGCGTTTCTTCCTGGTACTTTGCTATGTTTCTGAACGACAGATTTCTAGTATTTGATTTGCATGTATACTGCTATGAGTAGGATGTGTCTGTGACTGTAGATGTCGAGGTTATATTTGAGTATTGATCTTCCTTCATCTACATACCCGCCGAGAAGACGCAGACCCAAGTCCAGATTCAAACCTACCTATACCCTGTATAGAAGAGAACCGTTTTACCTAGTTGTTATATTATACTTTCTACTCTCGAGGTTATCGCGTCATAAATGATGTGATAAACATAAAGAAGAAAAGAAAGATTAGGAAAAGACAAAAAAAAATGAAATTTCTATCAACAGACGAGTTTTTTTTTAATCTTACAATGAAGAGTTGTGTGCTGTAACTCAAGGACATTGGACATATTCGAGTCAAATTGAAGATCTCATCGGTAGACTAATAAATTTAAAATATGATGTCCTCATGACGTTTCTAGATCGAGATCTTTGAACTTTAATGTGCCGACTGTGTATGTACCGTGTACACAGTTGGGTGTGGGTTGTGGGTGTGGGGTGTGGGTGTGTGGGAGTGGGGGTGGGGGTGGGACTGGGTGGGGGGGGGGGTGGGGGGGGGGGGGGGGGGGGGGGGGGGGG